GAAGAGGTTGAGAAGGAGATGGCGGCGGCGGAGGAGGAGGAGGAGGACGATGATGCCGGGATGGACGATGTGGAGGTGTGGGTGAAGATGGGTGAGAGCTCTGCGTCTGCAGATGGAGAGGACGCGGGTGAGGTTGTTTTGGCACCCGCGGGATTCTTCCGGCGCATCGGACGTGCTTTTCGGCGAGTCGGAGAGGCTGTGCGCAGAGTTGGACGAGGGATTGGTCGAGGATTGCGACAGCTGGGAAGAGTAATGCCTCGTGGCAATTACAGAATTTGCTTTGGTCATTGTCTCAAACAAAGGCAACACCTTTAATTTGTGATGATTTCAAAAAAACAATTTTATCTCCCAATATGCGATTCATTTTGCCTGTACAGTCTTTTAATTAAGTCGCTCACATGTGCAGGTAGGCTGTGAGATGGTACAGTCACAATGTGAACTAACCACTGACATTTAACCATGCCATACGACATAGCATGGCGCTGCGAAGTCAAACGACAATTATCCAGTTCTGTGGCTTGACTCGTCTCAATTGGCCTTCTGCTTTGTTCTCTCATTGACTTGATATGCGTTGTGGTAAGAAAAACAATTAAGGAAGGCGAAGCCTGTTAAGTGGCTGTTTGGTTTTGAAACAAGCGCTTCGATATGTTGACACTGACACTAAATTGCGATCACGTGAATGTAATTGATAGTTTGCTTACATGATAAGACTGTTTATTGTGAGTGTAATAATTGCTGGTGTTGTGGGAAGACGAGTGGAGGGAGGAAAAACGGGAGTCAACGGTTTATTAGCTATCTTAATGCAGTCGTACTGTGTGGTGTCTAGTAGCTATGCCTATAAAGTCTTGCATGACTGATGGAGATCGCTTACACATTCGGCTCAAATGAACCAGTGCAAGTGACTTGCATATCTGGCTGAGTGGCACGACTGGCAGGAGAGTTGTGTGGACATGTGTGTATGACTAGTCGTGTCCACATGGGTGAGGCGACACTGTGGAAAGGGGGCAGTGTATCTGAGTTAATCAGGGTGAATCAGCACGATTTTAGCTCACTACTGCTTGCTCATTGCTCAGCCAATACACGTAGCCTCGCCTACCTAGTACGTAACAGTCTTGCTAAGGGTTCTTTCAGGTTATTGCTTAGGTTATTTTTCATCATGAATATCATCATCATGTTGTCATTGCCGTGTTGGTTGCCTTTGTTTCTTGTCGGTAGAGTAAGCCTAATTCCTCGGGCCCTAATGTGACACAATTTCGAGGTGTGTTCGAATCTTTGTTGTAGAAGTCGGAGCCGCTGGGGTTTGCCTAATGGTTGAGGTTGTGATTTTCTAAAAAAAGTTTTTGTTTTGGTTAAAAAAACAGCAGTGTTGCAAGCAGCGGCTTAGCACTTTTGGAGACACTCATTCCCCCACAGAGTCTCTGAACTTTCTTGAATTCTCCTCTGCGTTTTCGACTTGCACCAGGCCCGTGCAAGGTGTGCAATGACTGGCCCTCTATTGCTGGCCCACCTCTTTGTCATAAAGGTGCTCATTCAATTGACTTTCCGACTGAATTTGGCTTGCGATTGGCCTATTTGACCTGGGTTATTTCCTCTGTAGTGTGCTCGTACATAACTGAGTGGCTTTAGTGCCAACATGGTCACTCACGTAGGGGTGAGGCGCGTAAATCTAGGCAATTTGTTGCGGGGTGACAATGTCAACCTAAAAATTCAAGGCACAGGGACAGTGCGTTACTTATAGCTCTTCAGGCAAAATGGGTTTGATCTTACCCTTGGGGAATACAAGCTGCCTGTCAACAGCACCAGTCAAATCGGACACAAGAGACCACCTCCCCAAACACACCAATGATGTCGCACTATTAAACTCAGTGGTGTTGAGTAGTGCCACTGCAAGTCCACTTGGCTATAACGATAACAAAGACCCCGTCAAATTGGGGAACATTTCTGACAACTGCAAAGTGAGTTGATTGGAGAGGTGAATTATTTGCATACAGCCTGATTAGCAGATGTGTTCAATGAAACGGCGCCCTTAAATTGTGAAAAAGGAACTACATTGGGTAAATGAAGCTGAGTGGTGCTGATCGCGTCCAAAATCGTGCGCGAGTGGCCACCGCAATCCCTGGTTCCATTCCCCACCGCCTTTGATGCTGTTGCAACAAGACCTCCAGGTGATACTGTTGTCACAGCAACGTCCTTACTACACTGACGCGTTTGTGATGACGCGTCCGATAAACCCCAGTGCGGAAACCAGTCTAGTGATAAAACTTGTGTTTTACCAACCAAGTACATTTGCAAAACTACTACAGCCAATCTCTGCATCAGCTCATTTAATCCATCGTTGTGCATTCCGGCAACAGTGACATTACTCCCCACATACTCTTGACAAATTTAATGTGCGCATTTCGTCAGTCACGTCTAATCTGTGCGCTGCCAGTTCGTGCAAATCAGACCTCAAAGGGTTGCAAGTCAAAACATCAAATGACCTCTCAACAAATCTTTATCATTAAACAAAGCGACTTTTGCAACACAAGCATGTGAAAAGATAACTTCGATCAAATCAATAAGCATTGGGATGTCAATGACTTTAAACGTACTCACACACTGACTGGAAAAAAACCAAAATAGGAGAAGAACAAGCAACCAGGGACAAAAATCTTGCATATTTCTATGTGACTGAGAGCAACGAATGCGTAATTTGTAGGGAGGTGTTTGCAGTCGTGTGTATAACGATGCAGCATACATATGTATAAATATGTCTGGATGTGTGTGTGTGTGTGGCATGTATGAATTAGCACGATTAATGAAATCATTCAGACGTGATTTGGGATCAACGAAAGACGCTCCGAAAACATGTGCACCATCTGGGTGTTGGCGGTAGCCACTTTAGGCATCGATTTAGTCTGTCACCTCCAGGGGAGGCGCGGTAACCCCCTTGCCGCGGGCTGTGCGCGCGACTGCCTGCATTACCCAGTCGGGTGGGGCAATTGCTTGAAACATTGCAGAAACTGACAACCTCGAATAAGCCAACACCGAGAGGTCCTCTATGCCAGCGTTTATAGCTTCCGTTAAGGAACCTGCGTGCTCTGGGTTGAGCTGCTGTAGGAGACTTTTGATCTTTTCCTCATTCTCGCTTTCTGCAGTAATAACACGGAAAAGAACTAGACAATTAGCGGGAGAGCAAAGCAGGAGGATGTCTGAGGGATCGAGGTTGAGGTAGACGTTGTCTTCGGCATTCTGAAGATCAGCGGAGCACTGGTCAACCGAGAGGAGCACTGCCAATGTTACACTCGAACGAATGCCAGGCGGAAGTTCTTCTGCTGTGTTGATGTCGTGCAGAATATCTGAGAGTCGCAGTATCGCGACCGCAGGATGAAACACGGTTTCTTCCGCAGTAGGAGTTACTGGGCAATGGGGTGTTGAGGGTGCGTGTGTGCGACCGATGTCAATCCAAGTGGCGAGCATGGCATCCACGGTGCGCTCCGGATAAACCACGTGTCCCACGCTGTACTGGACTTGTGGCTGTGATAAAAAGAGGAATACACTAAGGGGACAGCACAGCACACAAAGTCATGCTTTGCAATGCGCTGGGCATGAAGTTGAGATTGGGAGTGGTTCCCAGCAAACAACTGGAAGATGTGACTTCCAATGTCCCAAACTCATGATAGAGTGGTTTAGGTAACGCCAAACCAGTCAGCCGACATGCCTCATTAACCACAAGCCTAATGACAAGTATCTTGTCTAAGAGGTCCGAATTACTCCTCTGTCATGAGTCATACATTGGTCATCGTGTCAGTCTTATTTTCGGAGCCAGCTAAGGGCATTTTGGTAATACGGTTAAGCGTTTTTCAAGGCACCGATCATTCTAAAAGACAGTTAATAACTTATGCCAATCTTACTTGTTTGCGTAAAACCATGTGCATTTAAAGTCCTCATTTAACTTAATGCAAAATATTCTGCCCTAACGTGAATCATATTTATGCTATTTTTGTTGCAGAATTTACGCCTTAGGCTATCCACCAACTGGATTACAAAATAATTTTGCAGGAGATGGTTACTGGGACTAATTCGGAACAAGTTAAAAGGAAATCTAAGCACGTAAGGCACAAAGCAGAGGCTATTTATTTTGGAAACTTGTCGCTACTTGCCAGTTTCACAAAGTCAGTCAGTCGCAGGGGATCGTAGTAAACCTCGATGGAGGGCCAACCAATCGGAGCGCCGTGTTTGAAGCATTTAGCCTCACCAACATCACCGTAATGCCAGTGAAATGCGGCAAATTCGCCCTGGAGATCAGCTGACCGGAGGCGGATACAGACCGCCATGTACTCCTGCAGACACCGATTGACCAGATGTTCTGAGGCGGTCTCCTCCGCAACGCTCTGGTCAGCTTCCTGCGACCACACACTGTGGCCACTGCGAAAGGCATTCAGCGACGACCGGCCACCTTCGGTGCCGACTTTCTCCACCAACCGCTTGCCCAAGTACGGCAGCTCAAATTCAGCGTCGAAAGACTGACTTGCAGGTGGTGAGCCTTTGACAGGACTCTACACAGGAAACAAACTCGGTTTGTGGATTTCGCCAAGGAGATAATATCGATTAGTCTTGGCTTATTCGTGTGGCACACGAAGCCGGCTAATTTTGGGTGACTTCGGGTGAAAAAAGCACATACCTTTTACTTTCCAAAAGGCGGTGTGGCCCAGATGTAGCTGAAGCCTACTTATGAATATGTACAAATATTGGTCAAACTCAGATTCACGTCAGACGTTACAAAGGGAGCCTCAATTTTATCTAGTGTTGCTGTTTTAGATGGCATTTGCAATACGCAAGCATTCAATCAGTTTTCGTCGATAATACAATGACAATTATGTTGTAGGGGTCGAGTTTGCACTACCACAATACCCTATTGATAACAGCTTGCCACGACCCAATGAGAGAGTAGACGAAGTCGAAAGTGAACACGACCGTTTATTCGCGTCACGCCAGTCAGGTCAAATAGAGTAAAATCGATTAACTAACTTCTTTGTGCGTATCGATACGCGTGCGTTACAGGCGACTGCTAACAAGAGCCAATAGCAAAGAGGGTGAGTCATTGATGCAGTTGGGCAAGCATATGTGCAGCACTCAGGCGCGGTGGCTGTCCGTCCACAACAGTGCATTCACGAAAAAATCGATTGATTTGTGTTTGCTCACGAATGCTAACCGTGCTGGATTGCTGGTCGCCACAATGTTAACAAAAATTGTGACCAATGTTGTCTAATTGCTAATTGCTCTAGTTTCAATGGGAAGGAGCCCCTACTCATTATGGTACTTTTCTTCACTTTCCTGATAGGCAGAAAGGCCGTCTCGGGGACTTCAAATGGCCGGCAAGATACCCAGGTGTCAGTTCTTTAAACACTCTTTCTAAGGAGCCTTCAAAGATAAGCTAAAGGCTCTCGATCACCTTAACCAGAGCGTCACAACGGCATGGGCAGATTTTAGGTCAGAAGCATTCTATGGGGGGTTAATTTAACCACTGAATGATGCCGTATCCGTATTATAAATAATGGTTTACGTTTTTAACATTCGCTGTAAGATTATGCGCTAAAATGCTGTCCCATTCATTTACAATTTTTAACACCAACAGGGATTCAGTTATACCTGGGCCCCCCTGTATACTAATTACTCCGCTTCAGCTTACAAAATCAGTCCGATGACCAGCATTATATTGTAAATGATGTACTAATTGTGCAGTAATTATGAAAGCAAGCAAGGGTGAATCATTCAATTTTTTAGCTTAGCCCATGGTAGCCATACTCCAGACTGTTTTTAAAACGTTTGATAGGAGTTTGTGCGCGCGAATTTTAAGGAGGAAAATGAGTGGAAGCAATGTAGGTGAAGCGTTAGCATGCATGGCAGCAACATGGCTAACCTTTAAAAAGGGTTCGATGTTATGCCTGAAAAAAGCCTCTTTAAATGGTGAACTTTCTTGGTTTCTTGCACAAACCTCTGGTGAGGTTGCTATAGCCAGAAGTGTTGGGCGCGCCTGAAACGGACAACAAATCGGCTCTCAACACATCATTCTCAGGTTATTCGGGCAAAAGATGCCATGTCTATTCACCGCACGTTCGGCACTTAACACCGCTGTTCCTACTTTTGTATACCACTGTGAAAATGGGCGGAGAATTGCATTCATGTTAAGGAAATTGTTGTTTTCCGGTAAATCAGTGCATACGCGGATAATTTGACTTACAAATCCACGACGAAGACTTGTGAGCGGTACTTCTGGTCTGTCCACAGTTGTTTGAGTACCAATCGAGGAGGTCATCACTGAGCCAGGCTGTGGAAGGGCACATTGAACCTGAATGGGTAAAAGAAGCCAATTTTGGTGTCTCATAAACATCGTCAACTAGTGTACCTCCTTTGTCCGGTAGCATTCTGCTCGTCTGAACTAATTCTTATTCTCAATTTATTAAAAAGGCTTTTTGGCAATCTAAAATTTGGATCAGCTTAGATAAAGCGAAGTATGACTTATAATAAACCATTTGGGATGATAAGTGATTAAATCAAACCAAAGCCGAAGTTCCAAACATTTTTACATGACGTAGTTAAGACAGAATGTCCAAACCGAATTATTTAGGACAAGGAAAAGCCTAGAAGCATCCAATACTCTACGAAAATTAGGCCCCCAAAGAATTTACAGCAGGTTCCTGGGCTACGACAGAGGCATTTTGCAGCTCACCTCGGGCGCGTTACAGTGCTATACAACTTTGCTTCTTATAAAATAACCCCTCGTCATCCTACATAGAACAATATGCTATGCGAGTGAATGCGGCACGAATTGGTTAGTGAATGCGCGGGGGAGTTATAGTCATTTGAGGTTACCGCTTGCTGGCTCTAGATTGGGCAGCTGAAATCCCAAGTCCATAAAATTTAATGACAACAATGAAAAGCACAACCTGAATCAATGGACATGCTAAAAGTACAAATAAATTACGCGTTTAAAGGCTATTGTACTATTAAATCATAAATTTTTTTCATTGATTTTACTGCAACCGGAGAGCAGGAGCATAAATGTGTCAGAATTTTTCCATCAAACAGTCACTATTAGCGCGATGATTCCACAACGGAGGGTACGCTTAAAGGATAGTGGTGAAATGCGGAAACCTTAGAATACCAAATTTAAGCGCTCTTCGCATGGTCCGATGAACTCACATTGCCTACTGTCTCTTTCACGCAGACATCGTCTGGTGCAGCGATGGATTTGAGCGCACTGGCGCGGTGCCCCTCAGTGGATGGTGTGCTCGCCAAATGAGGGCGTGCGACTGGTGGCGGGTGAGTGGACTTCTTCTTCGAGCCGAACGTCAGCTTGGGGAACGTGATGGTCTCCCGTCTCTCGAAGACCACCTTCTGGCATGCCCTCGGCCTGCCCGCAGCATCGTCAAACGATTGGTGCAGGGGGTCTGCGACCTTATGCTTCACCGTGAATGTTGTCTCATGCATCGTTGCGGGCTACAAACACAATAAAACCGTGTTTTTTTCAATTTAACCGTGCGTCGGATACAGCTCACGAACGTTTTACCAGCTGTGTCATCCCGTTTTGTAGTTGCGAAGCATATTAAAGTAGAAGAGTCCCAACATCGTAAAAGGCTTATCGTGTTATTTGGGCTGGCCAGTTCAGAATTTTGATTCGCCGACCGATTTTCATTCAGATTTCGGAAATTTGGCTGGAATTCGGCATGACAGATTCGACGCACATTTAAATAGGCCCTTTATTCTAGCACTTTCTGCAGGCAACGTTTCGACATACTGGCTTTTTCTGCTTGTCAATGTCAGGTCAGCCTTTTATGAGCCAAACGTTTAATCCCAGAGACAGAAGTGTCCTATGCATCTTCATGGCTTTCTGACATTGGAAGAAGAGATGCTGCAATAGGCTTTTGATTCGGATGGCGTGGCAAATATTCACGATTACACACACCTTCAAAACTTTGCCCTTAAACAAATGGCACAAAGTTAATCAAGCAGTGAACTCAAGAAATGCATCAAATTAAGATGAAGAAATATGGACTTAGGGATGTGCCTGAGTAATTTACCATTAAGCGACTCGCTTTGCAAAGTTCTACAAGCAAATAATCACGTCATACGAATCCCTAAGGTCATCCTTCAAGACTGATTTTAACTTGGACTTGTTACCAAAGTCAAACTCCATTCCTAAGCACCTGATTCTCAGTATTCGGGCTCTTCATCAGACATCGATTTAAGGGCAAAATCAAGTAGAAAAAGCAGTTGAAATTTGATGACTCGTTGTTGGTTAATTTAATCAAAGTCTTCACCACTATTTACCCCACAATGTCAATACTCGGTTTAGCATTGGAATGGCCTGATTAATGAAATAGAGTTAGTCGCTAAATTCAGACAACACGCACACGTGAATTTCAGCCTGCGTATTACGTACTATAGAATTGCTTCGAAAGGGAAGATGCAAGCATCTGGCAAGTAAATACGGCAACTTGTGGTGTTAAAGGGACGTGGACATCGACGATGCAACAGATTCCAGCTTGTCACGCCATTCGCAGCTTGTGGGTTTGACCGCGTCACATTAGATCCTGCATGCATCTGTTTTTCGATGCATCTCGTCAATTAGTAGCCTATTAGCCTTCATCCCATTAGTGCTTGGTCTCACAAAAGCCAATCAACACTTGAATTCTGCATTTTTACCGCAGCCGGACCCGTGTCCTAGTCGCCTATTTTGCCCGCTGCTGTTACAGTTGTCGACCATCAAGTGACATCAGGTTCCATGCGCTTGTGTGGAGAGCAGTAAGCGAGCACAGTTAGCAATCATGAGCAAACCTGATTCAATTGGTTTACGTGAATGCACCTCACGTAACTGTGATCGTTCAGGGATCGATGTTTAGCCGATCCTATTTAAACTGACTTGCTATCTTGTACACCGACACGCACCATTACTGCCGTAATTAATTAGTTGAGTTACGCGCTGCCTGCATTTCTACTCTTCTTTCGGTCGGGCCGTGTCTGGGTATATCGTTGGCCGCGGCGTGGTTCAGGACAACATGGCGGGGCCCTCAACACGTTCGTTCCCCTTCCTCCAATGATGCCAACTTTAATTCCCACTTCATCGCTGTAGTTGCCTATTGATAATTCACGTGTGACAATCTCGAGGATAATTTAGCGTTGGTTGGACATGACTTGTTGCAGCAGTAATCGTCAAGCCACAAGAGGTTTCGGCCTCAGCAATGACGCGTGTCCACAGCCACGCTGACCCTGTTGAGTCTGCTCGATGCGATGCGGCTGATATGAGGAGGTGATTTCGGAACTGAAGAAGCAGCAGTTATGGTCATCGCAGGACTAGAAGTGATTCATCTGATTGTCAAGAGATGAGCTGATCCCCCGAATTGGACCTTGTGAGGAGACTGAGTGATGTTCGCACTATTGAATGCGTGGGCTGTTGTTAAATATGGACGACAGAAAACACACGCGCTCTTTTTTGAGTTTTAAGCAGGGGCACTTTTGTCCATGACTGCAATTATGTGGTCTGAACGATGCCTTGACAAAATAGCCTGAGGAATAATTCATCTCAGCCACTTCAACTCAGCCTACTCCAAACATAAATTATATACGTGCAAACTCGATAAAAACAACATAGTTAGATCACAGTCAAACTAGGAGTGAACACACTTCACCCCCCCTCCACAGGTATGCGTAATCAGGTTAGTTTTGGGCGACACGTAAACGACCGATGTTTGTGCGATTTGACGTTAATAAGGATTGACTTTCACCAACACAAACGCCTTTATAAGTTGTCTAATTAGTGCCCTACTTGTCTTCACCGAAAGTTTACGCCGTCCTCTGTTTTCATGCTCAGGTTAGTAAACAAAGGAAATGCCAGTGGAGGGCATCAAAAGTATATGCCTGAGTCTTGTTTACGACTGACTAGCTACTCGCGAAATGTCGTTTGTCCCCTTTTTCGCATTTCAAAACGTGGGCTTGTCAGTTTCCTTGCTTTGAAAGCCCTACAATCCTCGGTGCATATTTGCACGATAAGCAAATTTCTATCCACAATTCTGAATAGAATATTAAAAAAAAAACTTTTTCTTTTGGAGGCTAGTGCAGCTGTTCTACAATTCACATGCTTTGTTGTACCGGAAGAGTTGATCCCACAAAGAAAGTCCGAGCATTGAATGTTTCGCTAATTTGATTCAGCGGTTAACCGTGCTAATTCACGTCCATTAACTTTGTTTACACAGGCACTGACACGTCGCCCTCCCCTTTGCCTAACGGATGTGTCTGGGCATTTGGCCCTGAGCGTGTACCCCTACACGCCCCACCCCCACCCCAGACACACTGCTTATTTAACTCCTCTGGCCATCCAGTCATCTGTACCTTTACGGGTTCACCCGAGGTGGTGAATGGGTCAGCAAACTCCATTAGTCCTACCAGACTTTGTAGACACAGCTACGCAAGGCACACAAATAAAAACGCCTGCATTGAGGTAGCTAATAAGCCGTTGAGTCCCTATCTTCCTCTCTCTCTCTCTCTCCACTCGTTTTGTTTCTCCCCTCAGTGCTACGTGCTGTAGACCTCATCGAGAACAGATGCTGTGGGGTTGAAATCAAGTCCTTTGTCTTGCAAGATATGATTTCCAGCCCCGTTTCAGTAAAAAGTCAAACTGTGGCTAATCGACACTTGACTTTTTAACTTTAAGGTTTTCGGTTATTTTAAGTTAGTAGAGTTTACTCGTCCAAATCTGCCGACTCAATGCGACTATGCATTTTGCTTTCCTCCCGTGACACGTAGCAACAACAGTAGAGTTTACAATCCAAATTATTGTATTTAGGACACTCGGAAAGCACTCTCTTCAATTCCAACGATCAATGATTGCTGCTGTTGATTTAGTGGCATAATAAGTAGAAATATTGTCAGTGAACCTTCCTCTTACATAATTACTGTCAGTGAACAAAAACTTTGAGGTTTGCAAATCATTTGATTGTGATACTGGCATCCTCATCCTGATGTATAATTGGTAAGTTTAAATCTACTAAATTTTACACCCTAGTTGCTATTTAAAGGCCATGTTATTTGTAAATAAATCTGCATACCACAAAAGGGGTAAGTTAGTCAATTTGAGTTCTTTGTTTTCGTCTAAAAACTGCATATAGCCGACGCCTTGAAAGCTGTGTTCTTTGGCACTAGGAAGGCACTTAACAATTTCAAATGGCACGAGGAAATATCGCGTCTACAAACGTGACACGGCCTCTATTAACTATAGACGTAGTCCCACGTTGTAGTTAAATCTAAACCACTAAAAATATGCCCCAGAAAAGGTGACATGCGTGAGACGGCCCAAACTGTTTTCATTATCGGATGCGTAAACTCGATGTTTATTCACAAAATAAGTACGCATATAATGACTTACTCTGCTGAGAGTTTCCCTCTTTGCCATTTTGGTTTCTTCTTTACTTCTATACAATTTTCGGCGGTCAAGACTTGTCGTGTAGTTTTCGTAGTTCTCATTCATTTGCTGTGAGAGAAAAATCGGTAAATATGTTATTTGTACTTATAATCAGTTAGTAATCAGAGAGCTTACGACGGGCTCAGAACAGACTGGCTTCGAAGCCGCGGTGGGAGCAATGATGTCGGAGTTACCTGGAGACCGAGATCCGTCCGCGACCATTGTGTACGACTTTTGAAGCACCCGTGGAGGTGCACTTGGTCTAGGAGGTGGTGGGAGATTACGTGGCTAGGCAAACAACGAGCACTTATGTAAGTAGCCTTCCACATTGGATTGAATACAAGTAAAACCTCAGTTGGTGAATGTGTCAAAAGTTATTACTCAGAAAAGTAATGTCAGATTGTCCACACCGAGCATTATACACTGACAGTTGGCTACCAGTAAGCGCAGCAGCACATTACCTGCAAGTGTTCATGGCGATACATTGGAATTGGCCCGAGGAGAAAATTGTACAAAGAACGCCAACTAGACTTCGACACGTAGAAAATGCAACCTCGACGATCGTTAACAATAAAACAAACATTATCTGTTACCAACAACGGCATGACAAAACAGCAGGAAACTGACTGTCTATGCCAAAAATATGTTCAATCTGCCTTCGATTTCTTGGACACTAAGCACTTGTTGGTAACAGTACCAATGTTGGCAATCAAGTACTGACGCGGTAGCAGAGTGTTTGGTTCAATCCAATATTTGTTATTAATGCATTCGTCGTAAAGCACCATAACATTTGTCATGAGTGCACACACACTTATCTAAATGCGCAAATTAACGCGAAGCATTTCTTCTTATGCAAGATCGATCCTATTTGATATAAGCATAAAAAGCAGACTAGTTAGTTATGAGTTAGTTTTCATTCATACGGCTGACATGGGCTTTTGGCTTTGCGCACTTGACTGAAAAATTTTCCTAGCTGTTGTTGCAATCGGCTGCAAGCAGTGTGTTCGCTAGGCATGCAGCCGAAATGGTTTGTGTGGAGAGACACCAGCCGGTAGCATCACAGTTCCTGCTCACGACATCACACAGTCAAAGATTATCCAGTGCCTTTATATTCATGCAGAATGGTATCGACGATAGACATCGCCTCCTATTCCATGTTGAACGGAATCGAGCACACTATTTGATGCAGAGGTCGTCATAGATGTTAACTATCAACTTTAGTTGGTTCAGAAACAGCTTGCTGACACTTTTTTCTGCCTTTAACGTCAACAAAAGGCTATCGTGCCTTTATGTGCTGGAAACGTTTCTATATTTTTACACGAAGACTTTACCGGGAGACGAACCTAGCTTCTTGATAATAATGGAAGGCGTCGGCAGACGGCTCCAAAACCACACGATTTAGACGGCAAAATTGGGTCAACGGAACCAACACACACCAGGCCGATTCGCGATTCTTGAATAGCCTTCCAGTTACATAAAAGCAGGACAAAGTCTTCAGTACAAAAAATATGTAGAAAATATAACTGCGGCCTCAAAATTGAAAGCTTTTCATTGGCCTAGCAAATAGTGAAATGTCATTTCTCAGTACCGAGGAAAATCTCCTTCTTGAAGGGCCATCACAACGACCTGAATCGGTTGGCAACGGGATAACTGCATTCCAATTAGACTCACTTTGGTGGACTTCGTGTGAGTTAAAGGGCCCCTTTAATCAGCCTCATTCATCATCACTAACAGTTAGTTTCATCTGTCTTACTAGTCGACTTGTCACAGTAAAAATGAGATGATTTCGAAGTCAGTTAAACCAACCCAAGGTTCTCTATCTGGTTGATATATATCACGTGCTCGCGGCATCGTGTGTTCTTCGTGCGTCTTTCAAGTCCCAGCTGCGTTAACCAAAACCGACCAACTGGTCAGCGTGATACAATTTTAACTTTAAGTGAAATGATCGTATTGTTTATTTACGCTGGCACACTTGGACAGAGATGCATGGACAGGAAAATGGCAATTTGACTCAAAACAATATCAAATCGCTTCGGATAGAGATCGGATAGAGATCGATTTCAGATAATTGAACTAAATTTAATGTGAAAAAAATTCAACACATCTGAGAGCTGTAATTAGTGATAGTAAGTAAATTCACTTCACTTCCTCATAGGCAAACCAACTTTCACCTGTGTTTAAAATGCATTCGAGTCTCGAAGTTAGCAACTGTTTCAAAATTTGTAGACAGTATAAGAGTGGGTGCAATTTATTCTGCCGTCCTATCTGGTTGGTCTAGTTGCAGCCTTGTTATGCGAGACCGATAATAGTCATCGAAGTGCAGTAAATGACATTGGCAAAGCTTTTGCATGCTAGGCAGTGACTGAAAACGCCATTTGCAGTAACGCCCTGCCCATAATTGCATTTGAGATTACCTTAATTTGGTATTTGCTTTGCGGTTGTGGACTTCTAACCACCGAGCTCAGCTCTGGTCCGGTTTCGTCAATCGGCCTCGACAAGTGCGCCATCGGCTCAGACTGAATCGCTCTGAGTGACGTATGAGCCATAGTTGTGCCTCGGCAATATTGCGCAGTATCTAGCTAAATGTGATACTTTGTTCTGCTGTCTTCGTAACTATTTTCACAATAATACAACTAAGTAGACCAAGTGTGCAGGAGCGGTCAGTATTCCCCAAGACGGTCCACTGTCAATTAGAATTCGTCACTGTTTACACAGCTCTTGTTTGCTAATCCACATCACCTCACTGACAGCGTCGCCTCTGCTAAACCCTCTTCATCCTTCAGGTCAAGGTCATTCATGGCGTATACAGGCTGTACACACCCACACGCCACTCGTCCTTTGGACGTGGTCTTGCGTTCTACTTTAGACAGAGGTTTGGGTGTGTTTGTAGAGGTCTGTTTACAGAACAACCACTGCGAGTGGTGTCCGGTGATTCTCTGGCTGGATGGGGATTTCAATGGTTCCTTGTGAAGATGTCAGCAATCCTGACACCGGTCTTTTTATAACTGCCATTTCATCACGGTTTACACATCTCCCAAAGTCACTTGAGTTGTTTATACCATTTCCATGGCCACTATCGACAATCCCAAAAGTGTTAATCAATCAAGCCAAAATGTCATCTCATTCACGCGCCAAAATTCTTACAACATCTTGGAAAGTTTGTTGCCCCTTAAATCAAAAGTCAGGGATTAAAGATGGAAACCATTTTCAAGTACAGCTCTAGGGCGACTGGATGCAGGATATTAATAAATATTAGTAGGACAAAAGGCACCAAATTTGATTGCTCGCAGTCATTTCCCTACACTGGTGCCGCCTCAATTTGTCGGAAAAAAGAAAAAGAGCCGCTTTCTAAGGCTTAGTTGTTGCCTCCCACTCGAGCAGAAGCGGTTTAAGACGCGGCATCCGAATCGGCCGTTGTTATGTGAAACCTGTGCTAGGCAGTTTTGCGTCATTCACATGATTGCATCGATTTGGCAATTTATCAATGTCAGTAGAGGCAGTTACCTCGACTAATTGGTCTCTCGGTGTGGTAAGATACTTCGACACGCAGCTGCAACCACCGTCACTTTGTTATTCTGTGGGGTGCACTGGTTTATACTCACAAAAACACATAATCGTTCCAATGAGACACTTTAGAACAATCTACACACACTGCCAAACATTCAGAACGAACACCCTGTAGACAATTTTATTTTTCAAATCTGATGCATGCGGCAAATCAAGTCGTGCAGGCGGAAATTTACACAGCACTACCTCTAGCATATACAACTGGTCTGGTGTGACTATAAAGGTGCTATAACTTCACTCTGTCAACCCATTACCGCGCCCACAAAAAAGGTCAATCTGCGGGTAAAGGCAGGGAAAGGTAAGACCTTGGAAGGCCGTTCGACAACAAAATTGCCTTTCACTAGTCAGATTAGTTTGGCAATGTCGACAAGGCGACACGGCTTTCCTTAGACATGATTCAAACATTCAGCTTAGTGATGGATTTATCAGGTAATTTGAAGTTGGCGATTTATTTTTGCATTTTAAGTGCCCAGTTTCATCGGTGCAGTAGCGAAATGTCGAAAACAATTTCGATGGGCCATTTGATTAGCCACCAAAAATAACATCAACAGTCCCATTCGCTCTCTCTCTCTCAAATTAAAAAGCAGCATTTGGCTGAGGGTGGCAGATTTGGTATGGTGTGCGAATCCTAGCCATAAAAAATAAGACACAAAATCAATATAGATAGACTCCACAAGAGGAACAAAGATGCAATATTGGCATCCAGAGTTGTTATAACACATCGCTGTATTTTGGCGAAACTGCCTACTTACAAAATGATTTGGCCTCTTTGGAACCCAAAAAACATGAGGTGTCGCCTTTTACGTCCATGAAAAATTGAAGAAGTGTGTCCAAATCTCGATATCAGTTTGAACGAAATCCAATCAGCAATTTAACTAAGGCCAATAAAAAATCCATTCATTTCATTTACCAAAGGACCTCGTTCATTAAGACCATTGAAAGCAAGTATTATTATTTGCATTTGCCAAAAAAAGGTTCAATCCGATGTACTTAACTCAGTGAAAGAGTACGGAACTTCAGTAATTACTAAACAAAGTTTGCATTACAGTCAAGTTTTTCTCCCAAGGTTATGCACATTACATTGAACTAGCTTTTATTGTGTCTGCACACGACTGAGTTCCAGCGATTTGTATTTGCATTTCCGCCATTTCGCATTGATTTGCACAATAAACCCGCTTGATGAAGCTCACGGCTTGCATGTTTTTAACTTGAGCGGTGGATTGCATCGAGCGTTTGGATTTGTCCCCACACCTACCAATGGAGTACGCAGACGCCTGACATTTACTTGATCTTCATTAAATTAACACTTTTGTGAACTTGCAAGGAAATTTTTGACTCTTCGTGGTTTTAAAATGAGAGGACATGCGTCTGCTAAAGCCAACATTTTGGGGTAATGGAGTAAGGACACAAAAGGTAAGCCGTGTGTCAAGGCCATTTACCACGTGACACGCCCTCGGTGCGCAAAAAAGTTGTCACTAACGGCAAGAACCGTCATTACAGTGTCCTAATTCAACGTTTTCGATTCCGAAAAACGCGCAGCAAGCTTACCGAAGACTTTGTAGGGCTAGATTGTCCACTTCTAGCTGGCGGTGGCCGAGGGGGCTTGGGAACGGAAGCATCCGATTCTTCGGCGGTTTTCCCGGTTCCCTCGTTTGCCAGACTGTCCATCAGCTTTCGGGCCCTCTGCTCATTGGCGGCCTGTCCGATGATCTCAAGCACCGGTTTGGATGCGATCGAGGGGCAGATCTCCTCCTCCTCCGTGGGGATCTCCTTAAGTGAGACAAAGAGCCACATTTATCTGGCGCTGACATCGACACTTTTCCCTTTTGCAAGCTACGTTCGCTGCTTTTCTAAGGATTACGAAGAAAGACAGGTTGTCTCAAAAGTTATTCGAGTTTCTCCCACACAATTTACCTCAATCAAATACAAACGCTTAACGTGGATCCCCTTATTTTATTGCATTTCACTCAAAGCGTTTACGCACAAAGAACTGTAATTACAAAACGACGCATCCGCCACAACACAAAAGTAGTCACTTTTCCGTGGACTTGCCACAGAGCCCCAAACATCACTATGCTGCAAAGAATAGCCCTTATCGAAAGGCGGCTAAATATTCGACCAAGTCTTCGTACCAAACAGAACGATCGTGCCACAATGAGCACGTTGCAAGTGAATCAGCCTGGCGAATGGGTAGAGGTGACGCGGCAATGACAAATGGGAGGAAACAGTCATGTCGGCAAAAAAACTCCAGTCTGATGGAAAATCACTCGAGACTGCAGGAGCTTGAGCTAGAATAAGAAAACTTAACTGTTTTACTTCATTATCAAAATCATTTCTGAAATGTTAGAGTCATAGGCCCCAGGATAATTAATACTCCTTAACTATTTGGCAATAGAACGTTCGACGACAATTCTTTGCCAGAACTAATTAAATCGCAGATTTTTTGTCGCATTACAAGCATCTATCCGGAGTTTAAAACACGCTGAACCCACTGTCCAATGGTCATTCGATCGAAGGGCAGTACGACAGTCACTACTAGCCAATAGAAAAACTCTTTCGATATGCGCTTAATTGTGGCAAAATAATGGATGTCTAAGCTTTACACTTAGTCGTAAAAGTGGTTTATCTAGGTTGCTTAAATCGCATCGATGTTGTGGGTCAGAGTCTATTTGTACGATAGCTGTCGAGAGCACTGCCTAGAGTATTAGGCGTGTATATGTAGCTGGCAATAGTCGGTGAAAGACGTTTTAGTTTCTAGGTTTGTGCCTCAGGTCGGCAAGTGTGAGGAAGTGGAGTCGAAAACACCAACCAGTTATAGGCTGATTTACCACCGGATGTAGATGATATTTTCATAGCCAAAAATCCACAATAAACACGTCTGCATCAATCAAGTTAATTGAATGTGTAGTGTCTAAGTGCATTGCTGACCGTCCAATTAAATCCAAACAGACAGCAGCTTTACAAATACCTCCGTCGAGTTTTCTTATCGAAAGTGACTCACATGGACTTTTTCATTGTGATTTTCAGTGGGGAGATTGTCGTAGACGGGTGAGCTGGCTTCAGCCGAGTTCTTGACCGACTCCGTTGAGGGTGCTGGTGAAGGGGGCATAGCGCTGAGAATGTCGTCGGCAACCTCGTCTAGCAGTTTACGCCTCCGCGTAGCTGGAGACTCCTAGTGCAGAGAATGAAACGGCAAACCCCGTAGGTAGAGTAAGAAGGCAGAGCACATGCCCGCACACACACACAGGCAAAGTAGATGCATGCAAGCACGTACGCACGTTGCTGAGATTAGCACACGCGTGCGTGCACACACGAACCCTCCAGCCAAATGGATGAAGTTTCACACACCGCAACTTTTTAGGTGCACCCGGCGGTAATTACGATCCAGGCAGCGAGTTCACAAATGTAACGTGCCAATCGAATTACTGGCAATCCTGTTTGTTTCGGTTCCGATTTCATTGATGCGAGGTCACTCTCAAACACGCCTCTGGTTGGTCTAAGGTACTGCTGCTTAGAGGCAACAGCACTCAGACAGGAACGAGTTAAATGTCAAAGAGAAATTGTGTGGTCAGTGGCCAACAGTGAACGGAAGCTTGGGAAATGTCATTTATGATGCGAAATATTGTAAGTCTAATGAGCGTGACACAAGCACGTCGAACAGCTGGTGGTCAATATTCCTCGAAAAGGATCGTACTAACTTCTTGTTAAATTTGTGTGTTTAAATAACCACAGCGGTGACGTTTAATTATACAATTTTGACACCTAAGGACCCACTTTATCTTTGTACATATAACGGACTAGTTTCCAATTTCAAAGTTCACAATTTCGTTACAGTTTTAAACGAAGCCACAGCAAAAGGTTTTAGGAATTGTTGATTTACCATGAGGTGCAAACTGGCTTTGTTCATGACACACAACAATCCGAAATGCCAAGTTAACATTTGATTTATTGAATTAACGGAGTTGGACGCCAGGAAATGCAGTGAATTCTATAAAATGTCTTTACCGATTTATTAATCCATCATGAAGAAACACGTTGTCTGATGATTAAACTGTTAACTAATAATTACAATTGATGTAGAAATAAAAAGTAAGCCTGCTGCATGAAAATCCGGCTACATGAAAAGTCAGTTTGTGCCGTAGCTCCCTGTGAGTCATGAATACTAAGTCGCGAAAATAATCAAGATAAAGGAAAAAAGCAAGACTCCTGCTGGAGATGACACAAATCCTAGTACGCAGCAGGCAATTAATTTTTTCACAGATAAAAACCGTTGGCACACACTGCGTGATCTTTTCTTTTGCATTATATTTTGCAATAACAGCACCAAATTTTACCAGACATTTTTCTTTCACTAAAAACTGATCAGCACGAAATTGCGGAGCATTTTTCAGACGGAAAAACATTTGTCTTGTGCAAAGCAGAATCTTGGTTGGTTTCAATAAATTCCCAGAGCCACCCTCAAGGCAATTAGACCTCAGTAAAAATTCATTCAGCAACTTCAAATGCAACTCGAACAACTGTCAACACCCAATAGAAAGTGCATTTCGTGTCAGGCGAAACGGATACCATTGATCGTATCGGCAAAATACATGTCTAAAAATGTCGGTCATTCCATAGTTTGTGGGTCACGAAATCAATATTTCCACATTAATCGCACTCAAAGGTTTCTAAAATGCATCGTTATTAATTAAGTGGCTTCAAATTCCTCTGTTTGTAATTTATATGTCGTTTTGTGTTGGAGTAAATGTCAGGTAAAGTATGTGGTTTAAAAATGAAGGTTGAAGCTAAGGAGTTAAATTCCCCTTCGCTGTCAAAAGCAGTCGTCATTTTCGAATGAGGTAACAGCCGCATCAAGTATTCCCTGAGCCTAGAATTTTTAATATGGATAGCTTCCTCATTATCTGTACTTTACGATTCGTCTTCACGGTTGTAAATTTCCTAGTTTGAGTCTGTTTCATAGACAATTAAAACCAGCAGCGTATACTTTCCTTTGGTGGGAAAATTGTCTAAAAATTGTAATGGATTTGCGGAAAAATCCTTAACAGTATAGTAGGCACAAATGACCAAATTATTGTCGAATGGTATTATCTAAAAGAGCGTTGATATAGCACAATCATTTACGAATAGAAGCAATTTTCAATCGTGAAGGCACAGGTGCTTGAAAGGAGTGAGATTAACCAGACCTACACTCAAAATTTAAGTTCAAATGGGATTTACTGATTTCCTGTTTTCCTCAATTGACACCCTTCACGATTTTACATAGAACTAGCTTTCTGGAAAACCATTTGGACCCCTTCCTGGAAAGCTAAAACCAGTGGATGCAAAGGCTTTTAGTGGCTAGTAGAAAAGCGACCCAATAGAAATGCACCATCTCATGGTTAGGCCGAGCAAAATTTGGCGTGGCCCAATGTCTAGTAGATGTTTTTGCCATCTTAACATTAGAACAGAAATGCAGAACAATGAAAATTAACGATTCCACTTTTCTTCGGATGACCAGCATTCGTTAACTGCCATTACAGGGCTAAACTGTACAAGGGCACAGAATTCGGCCACTTTATTGGCTGGATAGAAGCCAATAGGAAGCATAAATTTCGTCTCGATTGTTATCACGGTGGGGTAGAGGTTCGCGTTGGTTAAGAATGGCTGCTACTATTGCGTATATCTTTCGAGGAAGGAAGAAGTTAAACGTTGAGGGCCAAGGCCCATTCACCAAGACCAACTCCTCGATGTTCAACCACAGGCATCTAAATAAGTTACTAGGGTCGTGGATAGCTCGTGACAACAACATCGCATCCTACTACGATGGGCAAATGTGCATGCAAACTATTCCGAAAGTGGTATCATGGGATTCTGATTATACTAATTTACAACCGGTCCTTATTTGGATAAAAAGCACGACAATAATAGAAAAGTTATGCAATAAACCGAAATTAGTTATTTCTGGTTAAATAATGGTCTGTGGGTACGAATACTTATGGCACAATACTAATTTTGTCTGTTGCTGGTTAGGACTTTGGGTAAACCGTGAAAATTATATAAAAATAAATATAGATTGAAAATGTACTTAATGACGTAGTCGGCTTTCCCAGATGTGGGATCACTCCTAAATTTGATTATGGGGGATCACACGATTCCCAAGGGCTAGTTCGCTACAGAGACTGGTCATCAAAAAACACTAGATATTGTGGGGATACAATATAAATGGCAGAGGCGATCTTTTTTGTAGATGCACTTTAGGAAAAAGTTATCTCCTTCCTGTATAGAAGTTGCCAACATTGTCTGGAGTTGTTAATACTCACCACGACGAGTCAATTCACTTAGCCTGGCCAAAACGGACAGAGCAACTTCTTAATGAATTGCAGACCGTGTGCAATTATTTGAGTTATTTGCACCCACAGGATCCGAGCTAATTGAAATTGTTCAGTGGGCCGTGAATGCCTTTGCAAACCAAAAATACCCTAGGTGTGATGCGAACTCATCTAACCAACAGTAAGAATGTGGCACACAGCGGGCGAAAACAGCCAATCCTGCCTGGAAAGTCTGCGGCGAAATGACCTGGGCAAATGTCGTGATGTGGCCTTGCTTGACCTATGCATAAACTAGTGCCCATGAATCTGGGCGAAATGCAACTGCCCACAGAGAGAAATCACTTCGACGAAATTATTCGATAATCGCGTGAAAAACTGGTGATTACACAGAAAACTTCTCAAGTTGCTATTGGTAAGCAGTCTCCACGCACTATTGGTGAATTTCGTGCGTCTCTATTGCCATAATTTTCTCTTTTTTGCACAGATAAAGGCGAAATTTTCAGAATTTTCTACACTTCAGAAACCACTTTGATGCTCGGCTGCTAATAAAGTCACGCACTTGGACGACCAAATTAGGATATTTTAAGCCTCCTTCTAAGCAAACACCACAGGAAAAGATTTCAGGAGAATGGGATTTGTTGGACACGGTCATTTCACCCTCAACTCACGTAATGAATGCAACAAAGGCTTGATTCACCAGTCATTTAGACGTCTATTTAAGCATTGAATAAGTTTATAGCACAACTAAGCAGAATCATGCCTAAAACGTATACCGTGTTACTACGCTTGAGCATCGACAGTATCTAAATGCATAACCATAGCCTATCATATTTCACTGGAGCAGTTGCCATAGCAATACTAGCATAGCCTACGAGTGAGGTAAAGGTATCTTTAAAAAAATGCTTTTGTCGAGTCAAAACTTTACTCGAGGAATATTACCCCACATTTGTTTAATAAAAAATCAAAATGAAATCGCCTGCCTTAAATTTGTTGGAACACTAACCAGGAATATCAAATCATGGGTTGTCTTTCTTGTCAACCATCAAGATCAGGGCACAATATATTTTTGAGGCAAATGTTACTGTTAACCACGATGCTAAGATTTAAATAGAGTTTAATTTCAAATTCAAATAGTTTAGTGGGTATTCTACTTAGAATCAGCAGAGGCCAATGAGGTAGAGCAGAAGCACTTTCAACAGTACTGGTCGTGATGATGCTCCAAATATATGCCGACAGTGGAGCTGCGAACAACGCCCCTTCACACCTGCTTTTCGGCAGCGACACCCGTCAGCCCCAACAGAAGTGAACCCAAGGATTAAACTTTCGTAATCAACAAATTTCTTATGCCTTGTGTTTACTTTACGTACTGTTAGGTAGGTGACGAATACAGTGAACACTTCCCTTCAAACTAGTCTGTGCCCATATTTCTTCATCGCATGTTGCCAGAGCATCACCTAGCAGTTGCTTTGGCAAAAAACAAAATGCTTGCACTTTTAGGTGGTTGATTTAAACCAATGCGACTGGTCCTTTGACGTGAAGGTCATTTGGCCAATGCCATGGCAACTAAGAAGTGAGACGGAGATGCTGTTTTGGGCTCAAGCGATCAAGAAAGGTGAAAATATGGCTACTACAAGTAAGTGGCATGCTTAAAAAAGACCTTAAAGTAATAAATTGCAATGTAAGAATATAATAGAATAAGCCAGAAACGTGACCGAGGAAACATAATGCCGGTTGTTGGTGGAAATAAGCACAAACGCCATTTTTTGTCTTGGAGCAAATGAAAGATTATCCTACTTTGTCATCTGCATTATCATTTGCCACCAACGCTAATGGCAGCTTGCCAACACGCCCTTGGAATAAGGCCACCTAAGATTGTTCTAACCTCCAGCTGGTTTAAGGAATCTTGAAGGAGTCACGACATCAAAGAGGGAGCACGGAAACATTATAACTTTTTTCGAGTCACGCAAACCGACGCAATCCAACCGAAAAAAAGGTCTACTAGCACTGATACAGACACTAGCTACGAAGCACAGAAAAATCACTGTTTGAACTGCCCCCTCTGACCATTTGTTTTGTGAAAACAGATATTACTGCTATTACAGACTGAAGTAGAGAAGGGATCTTCCAGAACATTCTGTAAAGACTTCGGCAGGATGTAAACAATTTTTAACGTTCGGACATTTTGCTAGTCTGACGGCCAAGCCGTGAGCTCACGTTCGTGGGAGCGAGTTGCCACGCGCCGAGAGCTGTCACGTGCGCTCATGGTGAGAGAAAAGTCTTTTATTCGGCACTTGAGCACCACCTAATTCATGATTTTACTTGGGTCTAGTCCAACGATGGAAAATGGTTGGATATTGATGCAGTCCGAGTGTACGCGTCAGATGATGCTTGTGAAGTTAAGGTCAGCTGGTGCTGTTCCACTTGATGACATATTACTGTAAACTTTGGCTACAGTTGAGCGGCCAGGGAGATGACTTACACAGTCTAGTAGACCTCACCTTCTGACAATTTAAAGTGGGTCACTGAGATGATAGGTGGAGGAAGATGGGTCAGGCCACAACTCGCTGGCTCTTGACAGGGAAAGAGAATCGGGTTTGCGAGTGACAACGCGCATTACGAATAGGAACGAGTGAGTGTCATTAATCAGCCTTTGAAGTAGTTGCGTATGTTAATTAAATGCAACAGCGGTTTGAGTTAATTACCTAAGGTTTAAAAACTAGCCCATAGGTAGTTAGGGATTTTAAAACGCATTTATTGATGCAAACAGAAAAAGCCATACCAACCTAAGTAAATGCTCTGAAGTCAAAAAGGCAGTGAATGACAAGTCATTGTCACGTAAAGTAGCTAGGAACTTGCTATCGTATCTGAGGAAAGAGCATCTGAATCAGCAGCTCTAATAGTAAAGCCGAAAAATGACCCTGATCTACTAACGTTTTGTTAACTTTTCGCTAGAAATTGCTTTCTCAGGCACACCGACATTAAAAGTGACCAATTGTTGATTCAGCAATTCAGTTTGAAGTGTAGCGCGCACCGCCATTCACATCGCACGAGATCAGCACAGGCAATCAGTCAAATTCCGAGGTTATTGCCGAACACCTGAGATCGACGACGTTTTCTTAATGGGAAAAAATTAACATTTCTTTTTCCATAACTCAGCATTTTATAAAAGACTTGAAATTGTCACGAAACGGTTTGCATGATTTGCAGATACACTACGGAAACTAAACCATTACGGCTACTTAAAAAAATCACATCGAACGACGCATACAAAGCATATCTTAGCATGCAGAAGCAATAACATCTGCGCATGTATTCGGCAATCTTGAACATTCTTTAAGTTGTTAATGCCTTCTTCGATCTAAAGATATGCTATTCTCAGACTAAAAAATCCTGTTTAATGGAAACACATTTTCCGCATCCTCATTCATTCATTCAAAAACAAGCTTCGTGCCCTGACTTGAAGGTTAATCTAATGTCAGTGGCACTGTGAACTAAGGACACCTTTGTAGCTGCTCTCTCCAACTGCTGAGTGTGGGCAAAGTTCATACTTGCCTCACTGATTCTTAGTCCATTCGCGGCTGTGAAGCTTTAGTCTGTACTCACCGCTGTTATCACCAGAACGATCCCATTATTTTTCAGCATCTTCTGACAGTCCATATCCGTTTTATCACGTAATGAAATATCGGGAAATGACTCGGTTAAACGTTTTGTTAAGGCGACAAAATCGGGTCAAAGTTAATGGCATTGAGTTTAGCCTCCGGGACAAACATTACGACTGCATTCCAAAAACATGGAGTTTCTCTGCACGTTTACAAAACGAATGAGCAATTTGCGCAGTCGGTCAGCGCAACGAGGAAGGGCGGGGCGTGGACTTTGATTCCGACGGCGCTTTGAGGTGTAACGATTTTGGATACACGAGGATCCGGCGTTTGTATGCGTGAGCTCGCAACGCTTTTGTTTACACGAGTCGTAGCAGTTAGGCGTGTTTCCGTGCCAACACCAGATGTGCAGTCGGTGATTAAGCTATACATATAATAGCATATTCTGTCTTCGCCCTAGCTGTGAACACAATGGGTTGGGCCTTATCCCTTCGGAATCAACAATGTGGTCTTTAATTAAAGTGAAAGTCCGGAGGCATTTCAACTGCAGCTAGAAATATATCCTCTTTCTTGACTGCATACAAATAGCAATCGAGCTGCATTAGATTTTGTTTTAGGTACGCAGTCAATTATAATAGTTTATGGAAGTGCTAGTAAATGTACAGCAACATTTTAACATTCAAGCAATTTATCTTGTGTTCATTAAGTAAAAAAAAAACAATTTTTGATTAACTAGCAGTATGCAAAATATCTAAGCTGACTTGGATTGCGGTGGCACCGGTGTAGGCTAAAAATCTACCAGTCGTGGTACCACGAAGCCGGTATGTGAAAAGTGTATGCTGGAGCCAGAAACTGATCGATGTTGAAATGGGAAACTGCGCATCAATCAGGACATAGTATTCTATTTTGAACAAGTAATTTTTACAGATTTTCAGTTAACTGGCTTTTAGAAGGCGTCATATCGTAACTTTTTGGAATGGAGCACAATAAATTGCTCGTGGTAAAACCATTTCACAGCTGGCAATTTGGACAGATTATGAATTCGAACGGTTTACGAAGATCCAGTCAAACGAACTTAAACTGGCTCTGAGTAAGGGGTGACCCACTTTCAGAGGTGCATGCAGCCATTCAAACAATCGGACAAATAAAGTTTCATTTCATAACAAATGTCATTTGGCTGTTCGACCTTGAACCAATGTTTTAAAACGTCTAGCGTCAAAGGGAATTTAAATTTTTCGCTTGTCTCAGTGTTGGTGGGGTTAATCGACAGCGCTATTGTTTTAAGACACTTTTTAAGAGCAGATATTGGCGAATACACACGGTGTTAGTTTTTTGAGCAGCAGACACCTCATGCAAGCGAGCGTGACGTCGATTCGATAGTCAGTCGTAAAACACACGACTTACTCAGCACTCATCAGTTGTTGAGCCATGCTGAGTGATTACCACTTAAAAGCCAATCAGTGACTGGATGTCTTAGGTTGTAGTTGACAGCCTCCTTTGCAAAGGCACTTGTATTTCAAGCAGGAAACAGCATACCTCTATGCGTCAATCACAACAAGCGGTGAGAAGCAACGCATTGTTTGGAATGCGCGAAACAACGGGACTCAACAAACACTTGCGCTGAGTCAGGATTTCATCGGAGCCGATAGGTAACACCACAGTTAGCAACTTGAATACCAAATTTAAATTTTTGAGGGATGATTAAAGAGCAATTATGACAACATTGGCCAAAAATGCTTTCATTTTGGCGATTGATTGCTATATCTGGTGGCGTTATTCATACAATAAACCTCAAAATTTACCTGCTCGGTAGGAGGTTCAGCTTGTACCGGTTCCTGATTTGTAATGCTCAGACTAGAAACTATCCTCGGTGATGGTCGTGGTCCGGATTTTTGGGGAATCCTGCCTGGAGCTGGTTCTTCGCCTCCCTTATTCCCACTTCCGACCTTAATCTTGAATCCCTTCTTTAAATTCCTCATCACCGCTGAGAGTGGACCGACTGAAGATGAGGCGGAGGAGGAGTCGGGCTTGGGACTCTTTGATCGATGTTTCGGATTCTGATCGTCTGCCGTCGTGTCGGCTGATTGTTGTTTCTTCTGCCACGGCAGGGTGAGGCGTGTTCCAGCTGGCAGAGTCATTGTACGCTTCGATTTAGGCTTCACATTTGAAGTCGATTGGGCACTAACACCTGATTCCTCGGGCATCTTCGATAAGTCCGTTTTGGGCTCTTCGTCTTCTACATCAGGATTCCTTGTGCTGTCTGCTTTCTGGGCTTCTGGGGAATCATGTTGCGCTTCTGTTGGCTTGGCTGTTTCCCTTTCACAAGACATTTCCGTGTCCTCCCCAGATCTCTCCTCGGCTTTCAAGACCTCCTCCCTGTGATTTTCGATAGGTGGGGCGGAAGAATTAAGTTCCTGCTCCTTCTGTGGTTGTTGCTGTTCAGATTGTTGGTGTTCTTGCTGCTGCTGTTCTAACTGCTCTTGTTGCTGCGCATCCTGCTGCTGTTGTTCCTGTTTCTGGTCATCCTGTTGTTGTTGTTCTTGAGGTTCTTGGTGCTGTTCAGGTTGTTCTAATTGTTGTTGTTCTTGAGGTTCTTGCTCACTCACTAGCTGTTTTTCCTCTGTTCCACCATTTTCAGGAGGAGGAGGAGGAGTATGTTGCGCTTCAGCAGCTGCCGCCTGGACAATAAAAGTATCCGTAGCATCACTAGTCTCATCACATGGTTCCTTTGTCCCTGCGTCAACGAGGGTCCTTTGAATATCTATTTCCCCATCCACTGCCAACGTGGTATTCAATAAAAAAAGATCTCCCCGCTTTGGGCTATCTGGAGGTACAATTTCGTTCGTTCCATTTGTGTTAAGGGGTTCCATACCGTCAGAGGCAATAGTGACAACCATAGGTCCGGCAGGGTGATATCCGCCCTCCTCTTCCTCGCTCATGTTTTCACTATCCCTGCTTCGTCGAAAGTGCTTTCTTGCCACGCGCGAAAGAAGCCTTGCGCTCTGGTCTGTGCGCTTCAATAACTAAGGCTCGCTGTCACGTGCAAGTAGGAGTGCGTACGCGCGTCTGTCTGTCTCACTACTCCACCCTGACACACACACACACACAGCGCACACCCTGAAGAGAAGGGCACGCGCATGCCTTGCAAATGAGGTGTTGGGGTGTGTGTGTGTGTGTCCGTGCCACAGCGATCCGGCAGCTGGAGGATTTAACATGTCCGGGGACTGTAGCACCACTGCACGGCGCGAGTCGCACCCGCTGTCTACAGACTCTCAAATCGTGGCAACTGTTATTCCTTTCTAAATAAAAAATGGGGACCTGTCTGGTGCCAATTTAAGCCTGCGCTTTCACTTTGCTAATCAACAGGAAATTCAAAGTTAATTTCAGAAGGCCCGCCCCAGGCGTTACACGTCGTAAACTATCCTAAATGTCACGGCTCATGCATAACTTAGGTCGTATAGGCTTCCGCGTCTCAGACTAGATTCCTAAGCTCACTGCATGTCGTCACAGTTCACATTGATCTAATCCTACGTGTAGAACGTTTGGCACAAAAAATTAGTAGCTAAATACAGACACGAAGAACCAAACTTCGTTCCTTGCCGTTCTAAAATATAGCAGTTTCATAAGAATTCCGTGTCAGAGTTAAAAATTACCATCAGGAATTGGCTCTATGAGGTCAATGGAGTCTGATTGCTATCAGCTATTTTCATCGCGGGAAAAGCCAACAGCGAATATCACCCTTTCCTATGACCTAACGAAAATGAATACAACCACGGCAGAGGATGCGATTCCCCTAAGAACCGGGAAGGCAACGTGTGCGACATTGAGTGAGATTTGCGGTATGAGGCAAAATTTAAGCATGAAACGCATGGTTAATTGTATGAACAGCTAAAATAGACCTTGCGGAGTAAAAGTAGTTCTAAGTTTGTTTCGTATCATTCATGTGCCCATGGAGCAACCAACAGAATGATAAATAAATAACTAAAAACATCAAATGTTCATTATTTATGGAATTGGTATGTTTACTGATTTCGGTGGACGTACAAATTCACCAGATTTAAAAACATACTAATAACTTCCATGGTCGGTATTGAATCCAAGTAGTAAGTCATCTTTTTGAGGCGCTCTCATGTGAAGCCCTAAAGTTCTCCAGGAAGCATAATAAATGTCAAGTTGGATTTTTTGCAGACAGTAACTTCCCAGTCATGAAAACGATTTACTCAACGTCTAAGAAGAGACCCTTTGATTTAGTCTGGAAAACGAGACGGCTGCCACTTGTGATTTTGAATTGCCCCAGAACTTTGTGTTTAGCCGCTAGTGAATATGGAATTAGGAGCAGGTGCGTTATCTCAGAGGACAAATGCAGCTGAAAGATGGTTGTGGTCACGAGTTGAGCGAAAAATATGCATTGTGCCTTAGCTCACAGTCGTGTAGAAACGGCCACGAGATTATCGATCTACCCCATTAAAAGTTCAAGAAGCATTCTTTTTGCACATAGTCCTAGTACATGTCCTGTAATGGTTAATCTCATGAGGAATTTTTCACGAGATCGCCTTCTGGTCTTGGCAAAAAATCAAGTCTTCTCCGATATTTCAAGGATGTACTCTTAATGTCTGCGACAGGTGTGATTTTGATTGCCACGGCTACCTAATTTTATTTGTCAGTTTATTTCAGACTCCGCGATACCGACGCACCTAATTTAGTGCCCATGTATGTCAAGCATTTCCCGTGTGAGCTTGACTACCACAAAGCCATGTACGTAGACGCTGCAGTCAAATGTCTAGTAAAATTTAGCTTTATACGAAATCAGATTATACGTGACGAATGTGGAAGGTGGATGTATTGAATTGATGCTTTTGTATAAAGTGAAGGATATAAGAACCTTTAAAACTACAAATTTTTGAAATGAAATAAACTCATTTACTTCAGGCAGCTTTACTTGCCTGATGATTGGTTGGTCAGTTGTGCGTCAATGATATACTATTTTTTCGTGTTCAAAGGGCCAATTTCTGTTACAGCCACTCACAAATGAGTGATAACTTATTTTGCCCGATGAATGAAATCATCGTTTGTTGAAAGGTTAAGTTTGGGACGTCTGATTAACCGTACTGAAACCCATTTGAATGGCACAACAATTTTTTGAAATAGGGTACAGACTCATTTGACATTAGTGTAACCGCTTAACGTCAATTTTAATTGCATGCTCCTCTACGGCCGCTTTTGCGCGATTGCAGACCATCCGAAAATTTGTTCCCTCCAAAGATTTCCTTAAACGGTCACTCACAAACGCTGTCTGAACCTAATTATTAAAATTTGATCAGTCTGAATGAAAGGTAGTTATTACTAACTGCTCATTTTACTGTGGTTACTTAAGGAAGGCCACGCAACCATCGTTTATGTCTCAAGCAGATAAGATCTTCGTGGTAAGCTATTGTTTTTCAAACGGCAATCAAGGCGTCACCGGAACCGCATCGGCTTCAGCTACAATTTGTGTTGACCAAACTCATTGAATGACCGTAGTTATTTTCTGCCACAAAATACTGCTGGATCAGCTGAACATTCAATTAATTCTTAGGCACCTGTAGAACACAATCAAGCTGATATTTTTGCTGCTGCTGCTGCTGCTACATTCTCGACACCCTAACTGCTTCATTCTGCTCCCCTGTTTTCCGCGTTTCCTTTAATACAAAATGGGGTTGTCTAATGCGTTCACGCAACCGAATTCGGTGCATTGTCTTCGGAGGTAGATAAAAGAGGTTTTGGCTGCCATTGCTTTGTTCCATCTTCCGTCACAAACACTTCCGTTCTTTCTCAATCAACTTCGAAAGCCGAAGTATATCATTTCAAGTATTCCGAGACGCAAATTGAGACAATTGATGACTTAGCATTTTGCTAGCATTTCAGGTCGATGGATTTAGAAAACGGACGTCTCACATGTTAACCAGAACAACTTACCATCCTGTCACCGGTATCGTGACAGCCTGAATATCTCAAGGCCCAGTTATGGATGTTCCCAAAATCGTGCCAAATCTGAAGTAAATGTCACCCTCCAAAACCGTTTAGAGGTCTTATAGTTAATCTGCGAACCCTTTGTGCTGTCAGTTGAGAACGGAACGGTAGGTCCACCACAGGATTGATGCCATGTTCACAAATTACTTGGAGATTTAAATCAATATCGTTAAAAGTACTTTAACACAACCAATTAAATCGGCATTGAAGCCGTTTATATTGTCTTTTGTTTTGGTAAATGACCTACTATAAGCCAATATTGCTGCAAGTGAGGTGTGGTTGTGGTTTTCGCTTACGTGAAACTCGGTGTTTATGCATTGTACGGAACAAACCCACAGTAAATGGTTGAGTAATTATGTAAGCAAGTTAGTCCTGCAAATAAAGTCATTTCATTGGAGAATTGAAAAGTGCACTGCATTACATGGAACCATCTACCTTTCAACACCAAAATAGCAGCAGCTGAAATTCTTGGGGTATTCCCTAATTCTGTGGTTTCGGGAGGATTTCGATAAACAGCTGTTGGATGTCTGATTTAGGCAAAACACACAGGAATTAAATATAAATTACTCTGGATATTGCAAACTCTGCAGTAGCAACGATCACGAATACAAATAAAGGAGTGTGCCCTGAATTTGCTAACTCAGTAAGTGGCGATCATTTTTAAGGGCCACAGGCGGACACAGGCAAAGTAAAGAGAATTAAAATTTTTCATCTAGGCTGGTCCGTTTTGGTCGGTCAGTTTGCATCACCTCTTTTCGACAGACTACCTGAATTTTGCCATTTTTCAGGGTACTGGAAACTCTCTTAAATACGCAGCACTTCATCCATTGAAATCCAGCTGGAAAGATGACGCAAATCCCAACGCGAATGTGCGGATAACTTTACAACCATCGAAAGATATTAATGTCTAGGTAATTTGCACTAATAGAGCATTCTGTGCTACATTCCGTTGTTAAATTATCTGAAAAGGAGATTTAAAAAATTCTCAAAGTAACGTATTTTCAGTTATGGCTTTTGTTCACCTGAAGGAGAGTTGGTATCTATTAGCTGATGCGGTGGCTAATTGGTTGGTAAATATAAATACGCATCTTGAGTTCATGTTCTGCAACATGTGGAACAAGATGCTGGCAAGCAAAAGCGCTTGGCGCACTGGATACTTGTCCTCGCACGATCAGCCTGTGAGTTGAGACGCGGGCAGAAAATTAAAAAAACACATGGCTGCGGGGAATTCATGAGCCAAATACAAGCACATAACTTTGTAGGGCCTGCGATCATTTAGTGTCACATGTACCAGCTATTTTGCGTATATCTGACTTTGGGTTATCACCATGACTTTGAGTTGCTGGTCGATTAATTTGTCTTCCCAAGCTTTCAACATTTGCAGTCCTTAAATTTTGGTTGTAGTCATTAGGCATTTAATGCATAACATGAGAAAATATAATCATATAATGAGCCACCAATCACAGGCGTTCCTGCACATGTTCCATGCCCCCAGCCGAAACGGAACTTCTAACTCGCCACCCTCTGCCTTTACACGTCTGCATCGACACGAACACGGTAAATTGCGCAGAATGTGAAGCAAAGTTTCTCACCTACAGTTCGGCTCCATCGAACTCACAGTCGCAGTAAAACTGGAAGCATAGCTTAAGTGAAAAGTTAATTGTAAGATTCTCATTAAAATGTGTTCGTGTGGGAAATTGGAATCTAGCGGCTTCCGTTTATTAAAGTGAACGGATGATATATTATTGCCGTTCATACCGACAGTAAACAACCATGCGTGAAGGCAGATTTTTGATAAGTTATGCAAAGTCTGTGTCACCTCCCTAAAGCTAGCTATGACTGTACACGGCTAACGTCGGTATCTATAAACATTACCCCCATTTTCTGAGAGTTGGAGGCCAATTATTCGGTGCTGCGGGTGTCGTGATGA